ACGCCGAGCAGAGACAAAATAACACAAAACATTATAGTGGAAATGTTGTTGGAAGAAGCACGTGGACATGTTTTGCTTCTTCGATGTTATGTAAGCACACGCTCACTAACAGCTACATGTGAAGCCGGGATAAATCACACAAGTCTTCAAAAGATATTTTTGTAGATTCTTCGATGTCTTCCCAATTTTATAATTCAACTTTTAGAATAAAAATGAACAAAAGCTTCCACGGAAGGAAAAGATGAATAAATATAAATGGACTGTAGTTGTGTATCTATTTTTTGTCTTTTTCTCCTGATCCTGATCTGATCTCTTGCTCTACCAGTACGCCACATTTTCCCTAAAAAGGAGGTGGAGAAAACACTGCTGCAATCATGTTGTAGTAGTTTTGAATATCGGACTTAGAAGCCGATTAACTCGGCAAAGGAAAGAAAATGTGTACAAACCACCAAATGCATCAGACGAAGCAACAAATCAGAAATGATCATCACTTTCCCACAGCTCACGCATTACAAACTCCAGGAGCGAAGCGACTTTGTTCCACACATCGTCAGTCCTTCACTAATCTTTCCCAGTGCCCTTTGACCTCTCAGCACGTCACTGCTGTTAGGATGGCGAACCTTTGCCTCCTGCTGTCCGACGTAGCGGAGCTGCTGCATTGAAGAATGTTTTGTGTCCTTGTACGTTTATAATTGTATTTTGGCTTTTACCACCTGGTTACACGTGTTTGATCGATTTATTACGTTTCTCCAGTGATTTGGTCTGTGGAAACTTCCCTCTGTGGAGCGTTCTATTAGTCAACAAATCAGTGACATGGTTTACATGTCATTAAAAGTCTGTTCCTTTTCTTCATTCATATGGTTTGTATCAATATACATCTATTGTTCCCCCAACTAGAAGTTCCAGAGGTTTCAGGTTTAGTTTGTTCTTTTTTTTAAATTAATTTATTGTTCTTATAAAAGCTGAACAAACTAAATAATCAAATATCAAATAACTTTTCCAATACACCACAGTAATACAACATTTTCTCTTTATACAAATTCTTAACATCTGGCAATATTTTTAACACTTGAAATACATTAATGCTCTTTTCATTTCAGTCCCATATTTTTTAAAACGTATTTGATGATTTGTCTTCATTGCAATAGCTAATGTCTTAATCATTTATGAATCTACCATAATTATTACTACTATTATTTCAATTATGTTCTTATTAGGATCCGTGCCTTTTTTTACCATTGTTAAAAAGGAGAGAATACACAAATACATAATTAGCTATTTCTGCTGTTGCCGTGAAACATGACCAACCTTCCCTAACATGATAGGACTGTAAAAAATACACATGATCTTGCACAGACAGATTTAACCCAAATTGTTTAGTTATGGATTCTCAACCTCTTCTTTTCACCAAAATTTCTTTTGCAAAGTTTGCTAATAATGTGCTGGACAATTGAATTCAAAAATAGCAAATGTTAAACAGTTGAAATCTAATAAATCTAATATTCCTGCCAACCAAACTGAATTGAAACGACATTTGTATTGTCTTCTACAGCCGGGGTCCCCAACCCCCGGGCTGCAGACCGTCACCCGTCAATGGGCCATTTGATACCGGGCCGCACCACAGAAGGTTCAATGTGGACCAACGATTCATGAGCACTGACAGACTCGCTGGGTTACCATTTGTTAGCACAAGGGATTTGCTAAATGAACAAAATGATTTCAATTACATGACTTGAAAAAGAGGAGACTATTGAAGGGTTGAAGGAATCCAAAAACAGCGTCTCTTGTTGTGAGGATCCACTGATCACGGAGTTTGATGTCGTCGCTTGCCCCTTACTGCTGCTGTTTCCAAGGGGAAGAGGCAGCGGTGGTCCTGGGACCGAGTGTGGGCTGCAGGTCCAGCTCTGGTCTTATCACTGTGTGGGACATCTATGTGTTTAATCAAAGAGAAAGAGGATGTTTGCCTTTAGGTACAGATAACACAATCGCAGTGGTTGGCATTTGTGAAGGGCAGCGTCTGATGCTTTGTGCCAAGGTGAGACCAGAAACACCAACACATCAGGCAAATAAACACCCTTCAAACTGATACTTATTGCAGGTCCTGCCCTTTTGTATAATCATGTACGAAATCCATCCTCCAAGCCCCCAGCCGTATCCCCAGCCCGTCAGTGGTGTTGTGCCCAGGGGGATCCGTAGCCTTGACTGTCTCTGATCTGATTTGAGGCTCGTTAGGAGGGTGGAAGGGTTAGGACAGCCTGTCAAAATCCCCTCTGTCAGCCTTGAGGAGATGAAGTGATGCCTCCTGGACCTTTGGCCTGCTGCTCATGATGCAATCAGCAGCCTGCCGTCAACCATACCTCACTGACAAGACGCTCCGTGTGTTCCAGTGGGTGAGGGGTTTGCAGGCAGGGTGACAAGGTATTTAGGCTCAGACTGGTGCATCATTTTACCAATGAAGAGTCTTGCCATTATATCAAAAGACATTTCAGGAAGTCAGGTGACAAGAATGACATAACTTCACTGGGTGACCGTGGCGCATGCAGTTGAGAGGGTGCGCTGGGAACCACAGGGTTGTTAGTTTGAACCCCGGCTGCTCCGTGTCCCATGTTGATGTGCCTTAAAGATACCTAATCTCTAATTGCCCCCCCTCCCCCCCCGGGGGCCTTTACGGTTAAATGCATAGAATAGAGCCTTTTGTTGTCTCACTACCTGTGCAATGACAATACAATTTTAAAAAGTGGAATCTTTAGGCCGAAGGAGACCGCTGTTGGTTCCGTGCAAAAGCACGAGGCTTCAGCGTTATTAACTTCCAGAACGGCCAACCTGAATAAAGAACCTTGCTGAACCTGCTCAGGTACACATTGTATCTTCATATAGAAAGGATTTGTAGTCTATTTTAACAGATGCTATTCTATATCAGTTTTCTGTCTGAATGTTAAAGCTACACCAGCCACTGGGTAGCATCATTTAGTATAAAAGTATTTGATACACTGTGGATTTTGCCGGTTTTCCCACTTGTCCCAAAGCATGTAGAGTCCGAGTGATTATCATCGGTACTCTGTGACGGAATCTAAAATAAAAACAGAAAATAACATTGTATGATTTAAAAAAAATGATTTTGCAGTTTATTGCATGACATTTGATACATCAGAAAAGCCGAACTTAATAACCTTTGTTTGCGATTACACACATCATACGTTTCCTGTAGTTCTTGAGCATCCCCAATGAATGATGTTTCCACCTCCATGCGTCACCATTGGGACGGTGTTCTCGGGGTCGTACTCATCCTTCTTCCTCCAAATCTCAGCGAGTGGAGTTTAGACCAAAAAGCTCTATTTTCGTCTCATCAGACCACGTGACCTTCTCTCATAGCTCCTCTGCATCATCCAGATGGTCATTGGCAAACTTCAGACGGGCCTGGAGATGCGCTCCCTTAGCAGGGGGGCCGAGTTCAAACAGGTGCAGTTAGTACAGGTAATGAGTGGAGGGCAGGAGGACGTCCTAAAGACAAACCGACACGTCTGTGAGAGACGGAATTCTTACTGGTTGGTGATCAAATACTTACATCATGCAATAAACTGCAAAATAATTATATTCATAATGTGATTTTCTGGATTTATTTTAGATTCCGTCACTCGCGGTACCTATGATACAAATGACTGATGTGCTTTGTAAGAGGGAAAACCTGCATAATCTAACCCTCCCCACTGAATACATCGAGGCTTGTTTATTGAGGCTTATTTATTGGTGTGTTTTTTAAGCGCAAATAAAATGACCAATCAACCTCTACCTGCAGCAATTAAAGCTTTTATTGAAAAGTGTCGAAATGCAAGTTTGATGCGTAACATTCTCAGCAGAATGAATACACGTTCTTGTGATATTTATCACCCTCTTTCCGCTTTATTAAGGCTCCATTAAAATGACATGAAACGAAATGCTGTGGTTTACTGAGAGTAAAGGATGAAAATGTATGAAATCATGGACAATCCTCTCCACTCAGCAACCCAAAGAAGCCTCTTTACCAGTTCATTTGTCGGGGCCCCAGTACGAAGTTCATCGCAGACCTGCGACTCCAAAGCGGTTTCATTTACTTGTACGTCGTAAGTCGCCGATCCACCCAGGAGGCACGTGCAGTCACAGCGGTGTTGGTTAGAGATGTCTGTGGATGTTGGTGAACACATAAACTAATTTAATGCAAAGACCGATCTTAGTGGAATTCCATTGATCTATTGATGTCTGTAGGAACATCTTTAATAAACTTTATTCTCTTAGCTTTCAGACTGCAGTGGAATACAGCACGTTATCAGTTTGTGGTTCTGTTTGATTCACAGTGAAGTTCATTGGAAAATGGAATTCAATGTTAAAGGTCTATTTTGTCTTTTTTTTTTGTCAATAACTTAAAATAAAAGCCTGTTGACAAGAGTCCAAGAGGTTTTACAAATATGATATAAATGAGTGAATTGTAATGAGAATATTTCTTCAGAGACCAGATTAATATGAAACGAGAAAAAAAAAAGTAAATGAAGATCAAAATTGGAAAGTTTTGGTTGAATATTCAGTATATTCTTATCAGGAAATACTGCAGACTGTTAAGAAAACATCTACATAATTCTTTTACAAGCGATATACTTACTCCTCTTCCTCTATTATGTATTCCTGTAATACATAGTTGTGTAATTATCTTTATGAAATAACAGCAACTTAACCTCGTTGCCATGGCAGACTACTTTGATTCATTTGGCAGGTATTAAACAAATAGACTAACAGGCGGAAACACACTTTGTGTTTGTTTTAATGATCTTGAATGCATCTTACCATGAAAAACATCGTTAGCGTGCGCTGAGCAGCAGGTCAGGGACGAACACGTCCAGACTGCGCCGCTCTCAGCTTGAAGCTTCACACCCTCGCCTGGTGATCCACCGGCGAGCTGAATGGACGCTTTCAAACCGCTTTCTATGATCAACCAACGCCTGAGCGCAAGAAATGGAGGACGGCCCGCGTACACTTGCATAACGTTCACATTTATTTGGTTTCAAGTCCTAACATTCTAAACATGCTTTTAACACGTAATGGATCACATTCTTCACAGGTAGTTAAAGTAACAACAGACAAGAGATTTGTGGAGAGAAACACATTTCATTGTTTCAAGCGGCTGCGTAACCTGCTTCTTCCCTGAGATTCTCTCATGGCGAGGCTCCATCAGCGCAGGAGGGGCTCCTGCATGCTGGCTGTGCTGCCTTTGATTATCAGCAGAAACCACGTGTTCTCTGCCGCACTACCAGTTCCTTCCCTAAACGTGTGCTGCGGGGTACTAACAGTGTTACGGTGCTCGGGCTGGACACCCACGTTGGTTTGCCTCCAACAGAAGAGCCGGACGACGGCTCCTCGCAGAATGCAGCAGCCTCATTTAAAAAAAAAAGAAGCTTTTTTACAATTTGGAGCTCGAGTTAGTTCACAGTCAGATTTCCTTATTGTTAGGTTCCCTATCAGTAAGTTAGGCTGGCAGCTTCTATTCAAACGCCATCAGGTCCAACCCCAGTGATAACACTGCAGCAGTCGCGTGCCACAGCGTCAGGGTCACACGAGTGAGCCAAAAGCATGTAAACATGGGATGTCACGTTGACCACGATTCAATTCTCTGCTTGATAATCGATGCATTGAGTCCTATGTGATACAGTTCCACTGATACGCAATCAGGGAGCATAACGGATAAAAACAGCGTCATATGATGTGGTGAATTCAGTGTGCAGAGAAAACAGCCATTCACCAGATAACAAGACGTATTCCAAAAAGGTCAACACAGGAAAATAAAGCTCTGGTTAACGGCATCACGTGAACGCTTAATCAGTACGCTGGTGGTCATTGACATTCTTTCACATTTGGTATTGGACTCACAACAGGGAAGTAAAAGAAAAGATGACACTTATTTAACATGAGATGAGCACACAAAAAGGAGGTAGAGGACAGCAAGTGTTCAGTGTGTAACAAACTTTACCGCCGGATGTCAGAGAAACAACAAGCTGCTGACAGCAGGTGAGTGTGAGGTAGACGAGTAAAGGCAACATACTTAAGAAAGGTGGTAGTGTATAAAAAGCTGAGAGGTCAAACTAACGAAACATTGGTGCAATGAAACCAATAAATAAGACCAATCTATTGAAAGAAAGCAACAGGATGACAAATGAAAAGGTAGTTTCAGTACAGAAATTGCAAATGTAGAACATATCACTTGTCTGCAAAAAATACAAATACAGAAAATAAAGAACACTTTCTTTGGCGCATGTATCAAAATGCCGCAGGAAGTCAGAGGGTGCGGTAAGGTAGCGTGGCAGGACGCACAATGTGGATTATATTGATATCATTTGCTGCTACACTAAAAGAAAAAACTTCAGATCCTCTTCCACTGTCAGATCTCAGCAGTCTGTGATGTTCAGGCATTCCTGGAGTTCCTCGCAGACGAAGTGGCTTTGTAGTTGGCCACACTGAACCCTTCTACTTGTGCTACAGTTCAAAGCGACTGGAGGCGGCTCCTGTACAAACAGGAGGGGCGGTTGGACATCGGTGCGCGACGGAGAATCGCTTGTTTAAATCTCCTACGAGACTCAAGTCGGCTGTTCGGATCACATCCCGTCACCCGATGCATAAACGTTTCCCTGAGATGTTCATGCTTTAAGGGGGAGCTCCACGAGACACTTACGTATCCAGCCGGCTACATTTTCAGGTCCGCCGCAAAACAAACCAAATTGCGTTTAGCCATCTTGTTTTGTGCGGTGGCAGAACGTTTCAAAAGCGGGACAAATAAAAGCTTTAAAGCATTATGTGTGCGCTGTAATGTCGCTGAAACTCCCTCTGATGAGTGATATATTTAAAACTAATTGATAGACAACATACTGTGCACACGTCTTAGCTGCTCTCAGAATTATGGTGGTGAAAATGAGTTGGTTCATTCTTTGGAATCAGGAAAGGCTTCTAAAGCATTAGATTGGTATTGTAAAAGAACTGAAATTATACATGAAAGGCTCTGAATTCTCAGTATTGTCCTTATATAATGTGGCTTACAGTGTTCATGGGAATGAGTTAATAAAAAGAAAAATTTAAAAAGAGGTAAAAATCAAGTCAAGAATTCAAAGCATGGAATCTCAAAAAGACAATGATACGTGAAAAACAACAACAACAAAAAACATTCACATCATAACTACAAAAAGTAAATGAACATGTATAAAAGTCAAAAGATGGAACTGAAACATTTGAAAGAAGACGGGTGGTGTTAAGGCCGCACACAGGTGGAGGTGGAGGGGATCCTCCGCCCGTCGCCACATGCCACCCTGCAGGTCATCTTCAAACTGCATTTACTTTACTAAATGAGGGGGGGGGGGGACACTTCTACAAAGTAACCTATGTCTACTATACAAGTACATAAGCACGGTCAGTGAGGAGCTGCTGAATGCAAACACTCACGTTACCCTGTTTAGATCGAGGTCGCCAGGGACCTGAGTGAGGAACACACTGGGTGGGCAGAGGTCAAAGGTCAAGGTCTCCGAACCTCCCCGTTGTGTGCAAAAAAAAAAAAAGGGTTGTTGCGAGGACTGAATTTAGTCTGCATTTCAAATTGTTCGTACATAACGAAAGGGCGAAAACCTCGAGGAATCCAAGACCCTTCAATCCTCTCATAGCTCAAAAATAAAAAGACCATTTTCTATGGCTTCTGTTAAACAACATGCATACCTGTCACAGGTGAGTCACCCAAACTAACGCTAGCCTGGATTCATTGAGACACGGCCCGGACCCATCCCAGTGAATCCGTCCCTTAAAGTGATAATCTGCTAACTTTCCATTAGCCAACACAGAAAAGAATTCATTGTGTCGTCAGTGGGACCTGAGGGACCAGACCTGAACCAAGTCTCAGGTCCACCTTCTAGAGTCCTGTGGATCTGGAACAGGTCGAGCTCAAACTGCTGCTGGTCTGGGGTCTGTGCAACATTTTGATTGGACCTGACAACACAGCAAACAGTTCCTCTAAAACCGGCCACTGTCCCACTCAGGTTTCTTTGGCTTCAGACTTTAACCCGGTCGCTGTTGGTTCCACGTCTATGAATCTTTGTGACCCATTAAAACCTCTCGCTGCTGACCAGTCCATGTCTTTATGTGTGTAGGTTTGATCCGAATTAATTGAAAAAAAAACAAATTTCATGTGTTACCTTAAATTAAACATCACATTTAGCTGACGGTATGTTGGGAGCAGACGAGCTCTGCGTGAAGGTCCTGGCGCTGAAGGTGGCAGAGCCCAAACGAGCCATCTGACCAGAAGGGAAAGTCCATCATGGTCAGCACCACGTGCTTAATGCACATGGAGACCGTGTGCATGATTAGCAGCATTTACAATGAAATCCGGCGACGTACTCATCTGTCCAGCAGAGGGTTCTCCCCTCGTGCACAGATTGATTCTCCTCTCATCCTGATCCTTCATGGATAAGAAACGTTTTGGGGGGGCTATCTCCCCCTACCCATCAATGGGTGAAAAAAGCATTGCATAACACTTTGGTCAAATAGAGAAAAAAATATATCTAAAACACCAAACCTAACTACCCTCCCCTTCCAATGCAATGAAGCATTACATCCCCAGTCTATGATTGTAAAAAATACCCGTAAACTCCTTTTTTCCATAAAGATCCCACTAATCCAATAACTGTCACCTTAAACCCACGGAATGTTAAATTGACAAGACCGCTTACTATTAGCAGGAAGTCTGGAGCAGCTGCATTCTGCTAATCACGTCAGTGCAACGGAACACTGTTTCCAATCTTTGATTTACGCAGCTCCTTTCAACATTCGGTCTGTGATCGAGGCGATTCGGTTTTATACTGGGCAGCTCTTCATTTAACAGAAAGAAAAAGGTACCTGAAAATAGCAACAACATTTTCCTGAGGTAGTCTCAAAACACTCTCAACACGTGTCCATCTGCCCCCGTCTGAATAAAATAAACTCTTTCAAAGTCTAGCTCTACCAATAGCAACACTGACACATTGAGCAAACTGGATACACACTTGTAAACTCCAAAGACCAATGCATCTACGAGCATTTGTTTAGTACAGAAGCATGTGCACAGTGTAATCAGCATACATTCAGCTCTGTCGTGTAATAAATACATAAAGAAAAGTTACAAAAAACAAACTAGCTGCTTGTCACATTCACAAGAGGGGAGACCGGTCCCTCGACTCGGGGGAGGGGGGCGGGTCTAGTTTCCGGAGGAGGTGGTCACGCAGGGCGACGGACCGGTCCTGTAGCTGGTCAGGCTGGATTTGCAGGAGTGCAAGACTGCTTTGAACAAGAGAGGGAGCTGCTCCAGAGGGACGTTCACCAGCTTACCTGCAAACAAGGCAGGGTTCCCTTAGCCTCTCTGCAGGGAGCGCAACCACACGGGGACACTCGCCACTAAACACGGACGCCGTAGAAACGGGCGACTGATGCGTGGCTGCATTTTGTTAAGATATCGGTTACAGTGGGTTTAACACATGCTAACTGGTGTTAGACAGCAGTCCCTCTTACCTGCGATGCAGCGGATCTCCGGGAGACACATCATGATCTCAGGGAAGCGCTTGGGCTGGTGCGGGTACTTGTACTCCGTGTAGTCCTGGCACACATACCAGTAGCGCTTGTTGAGCTGCTCCAGCTGGGAGATGTTGGACAGTCCTCTGATGTCTGCGCCGATGAAAGCAGAGAAGCGTGAGGGGGGGGGGACACGAGAGGCTTGACAAAGGCTTTAGCTCAGTAACGGACGCTTCCGTACCTTGGTTGAGGAAGTTGATGGCTTTCATGCAGGCGTACTCCTCATTACTGATCTTCAACTGGTGGAACTTGCGGAACAGATATATCAAGCGCTCCATCACCTCCATGCCGTCCTCGCTGAACCTGCGGAACAGAACAGACTCGACACTGGGGAGACGCAGTGGTGGACAGCATTCACTGCGATGCAACGTCTTCAGAGGGTTGCTGCTGGTACCAAATCCCTTTGAGTAGGTTTACTGTCCACGTGTTCATATATTAAATGCACTGTCAAAAATTGAAAAACTCCAGCCCCATTATCTTAAACTTCTCCGCTTTGATGCTCAAAGCACAGATTTAGCCGGGAATACGTCACGTCTAAAAAGTGCTCAACAAACGTCTTGCTAATCCCCGGCTTTCAGAAGAAGTTGGGAAGATTCACACATTTTAATTACACTTATCAAAGCTCAATTCCCTGTCTCTCTGGCTCTCACGGCTCCAATCTCGCTCGGCTGTCCCTGTAAATCAGATATTCGCTCCTAAACTCTCGGCAAATGGAGCGCAGCAGCAGACCGGCGCCGTATATTAGCGGAATGAGTGTCGTAAGGTCAGATAACATCCATCTGATTTACACACACCCAAACCCCCACGCACCCTTTTCTACCAAGCGTGGGACATGCGCGTATTTTATTTGCCAGGCGGTGCTAGCCACAGCCCCGTCCTGGGGAGGGCCCCCTGTTCACGGACCACTTCACTGGCCCTCATCCAGAGGGTTACTGCAGCGAGGAACATTTCATTCCTCTTATCGACGTTCCCCTCAGAGAGAACGTGTGCGCGATAGCCTCCACAAAGAGGGGTGGGGGGGCAATATCACCAACGCATGAATGAGGGGCTTTCAGATGTCAGACATGACCATGTGACTAGCTGCCACCTTGTTGTGCTAATCTGCTCACAGGCATCCTGTTTGAAGCGGCCTTTACTCACCCCTGCAGCTCGTCGTCAGACGGCGTGTACTTGGCAGTGACGTCAGCCAGGTCTCCGAAAATCTGGGCACTGTAGATAGTGAGGCAGGAGAGCAGGATCAGCTCCTGCCAGGTGGAGCTCAGCAGGCAGGTGTAGTCCTCGATGGAGAGTTCACAGAAGAACGGCAGCTTCTTGATCCAGGAAATCTGGCGGAAGAGCAGCTCGTCCGCCAGACGACACAGCAGGGCGAACAGCTCCACCTGAGTCACCTTGTACCTGAGGCACACAAGGGGTGCAGGTGAGACGTGACGCATGAGCACAGCGTTGCTGGGCCTGGTGCGGCCGCTCTGGATCACCTCGAACGTGACGCATTTTCATCGATTCATTCGAGTCTCCACCACCTAAATAATTATGGCTTGAAACACTATCCTCCCATCAGTCAGCGAAGGGTCAAACTAACTGATCTATAGTCATACTGCAAACATCACGGGATGTGTCCGGCGCAGCACAGGAGAGCTCTGCAGAGGGAGAAGGAGACTTGCAGCACGACGACACTACAGCTGCTGCAGCCACATTAACCTCAGACCCAACGGAGCGTCCCGTCATCATGGACCGTGTCGAGGTACAATCTCTGCTGCACGTGTCGACTCACCCGTCTTCAATGAGCATCGGGGTCGCCAGGGGGGCCAGGTCTTCAGCAGCCACCAGCTGCAGCACCAGCGGGTGGGACTGTGGGTAGAGGCTGCGGGGCTGGGGGGCCAGCAGGCCTGACTGGGCAGCGTAGCTGAACAGATGAGGCAGGATCTGGTAGTGCGTGGACATGGAGGTGTTGATGTACTGCTCCCTGAGGGCCGCCGTGTAGCCGTTCATCTCCACGGAGCGACTGGAAGAACACGCACACGCACACACGCACACGGTTTCATCCTTTGTACGTCTTATTAACAGAATATTCTGACATCTTGTTCAACATCCCACGCTTAGTCAAATAACATTGATTCGTGTCCAGTGTCTTCCCGGGTTTATGCTAAGCTAGGCTGAATAGACTATACCTTTAACCTTCTGACAATAGTTGAAGTGTTTTAGTCTGCGTGGTTCACGTGGGATCTGGATACCAAAGCCCACAGCGCTCAGGCATCCTGTTATTGCTCACATATCATCCGATAAAACGAGCATGCTTTGAATAGCTATCGCGCGGTAGTGATAATGACACTAAAATATACAGTCATACCACGAGCTAGACAATATTTGTCCTTGGTGGGTGCAGATAGACAATGCGCTCGTCTCCACAGCAGATAGTGCAGCACGTTCTTAGCGTTGGCCTGAGGAGCCGTATATGCAGGCGTTCTTCAGCCGATGAAACCAGGGCTGCCTCAATATGCCAATGGCATATTGTGCCGGCGCTAAGCGGCTCAGTTGGAGGAGACCAACAACTCACTTGGACGACAGAGTGGAGGCGGGGGACGGCTGGTTGCCCTCCGAGGCGCCGTTGCTCGGAGAGCTGTGGTCGCTGTCGCCGTTGTTGCCCCACGTGTGCTCCGGGGCATCCTCCTTGAACTCCTGCCCCGACATGATCCTCTCAATCTCCTCCTCGGTGATCTAAACACACACACAAAGGGGAGGTGGGCATGTTTCAGAGCATGCAGCACATGCTCATGTGACCAGGAGCACCGGGTCTCCGCTCATTGGATTAGCATTGACTGGCACCCACATCTTCTCACCAAGATGTGGAGGAGCAAGGACACAATCACACAGTGATACAGGGAGCTGCAAATGAAAGAAAGGAGGCACCTTGTGTGTGTGTGTGTGTGTGTGTGATACACACACACACCTTAAATAATGGAATTCTTGTTGGTCTGTGAATTGAGTAAACACCCAACAGGGACTTTGAAAGGCGATGTGGCGCCTTCTTCCTGCAGCGGGGGTCAATTCACATGCATTTCTATCAATCCTCCACACACTGAAACATCAATTCATTGCCTTTTAGTGACAGAGGTCCTCATTTCATTAAGCTTTAGAAATAAAGCAGCCTTTTGATAGAAGCGAGCGTTTTCTGAATGCATTCACGGTGAGCGAGCTAACTCTGGATCTGAGCCATAACAACGTGTACTGAGGGTCAGCGGATGTCACAAAAACAACTTTTCTGGTATTCAACACGTAGGCAGTAAATTACCTGAACAGGCCCGATGCTTTTGTTCCTCCCTCCTGGCATGCCATCCTCCCTGATTGCTACAGAGAGAAAAAGAAAGAGCAGGAATCTAAATCTACATGCGGCCCATAAACACAACAAGCAGCAGCGTCAGAGCTCTACCTAGTGGCCGAAACACACCGGCTTCCTCCGCGTGAGCCGTTTGGTCGGGTTGGGACGTGCTTGCTACCTTCTCTGTTGGCAGGCAAAGACGTTTTTCCTATTCGCCGACAGCTCTGAGCTCATTAGCCGTGACTCTCATGCAAGGACAAGATTGGTGGAACCACAGAAATTGGAGGAGCACCGGGGGCGGATTCACATTAGCCAACCACTGGGTGGCAGCATTGTCCTTCAGTTCCCTCTAGTACTCGCTGAGGTAAGACAGGCCAATGGTAAGTCAGTTCTTGCATGACATATTGATTTCGCCGTGACCTTGTATGGAGGATAGGCGGCTTTGACCGACTTGGATCCATCTCAGCAGGATCTTCAGGTCTTGTAAGAGATCCAGTAGTGGAGGGCATGTAGGGTCATAATCAGATAAATACAGCTTGACAGCTTTACTCAGATTACTGAGCAAGTGCACGAGTTTAACGTGTATTGTTGTGCATCTGTACGTGCATTGACACCCTATTCACCCAGTGTCCGGTCTTAAAGGAGAACATTTCATGCTCAAACAACGGACATCTCATAGAAACAATTGAAACCATTTCAGGGTTGATATGAAAACAGAAAGCCACGTCCCTGTGACGTGTCCACACTTTACCTTTGCGATTCATCCCCATCTGCAGACACTTGAGCAGGCGGCAGTACTGGCAGCGGTTGCGCTGCTTGCGCGACATCTCGCAGTTCTTGTCGCGGCTGCAGCGGTACACGCGCTTGTTGCAGATGCTGCGCTTGAAGAAGCCCTTGCAGCCCTCACAGGAGATGATGCCATAGTGCAGGCCGGTGGCGCGATCTCCGCAGATAAGGCAAGTACGCTGGTCAGCCGGATCATCTGCAGGAGGACAGGAGAGCGTGAGAAAAGGGAGGCATTCACAATCGTTTCCCCCACTTCTCATCAACGTCGTAAACACAAAAGAAAGGGGGAAAAAGTGGGTGCCAAAACCTCGCTGGGGAGGCACAAATTTTAATTGAGATCACAGGGGCGGTTGGGGCTTAAGCACTAGACAGCCTCCAGCTAATCCTAAAAGATTCTTAAGCCCAAACTCTCATTTGGTGAAAGCGGAGGTGTAACAGGCAGCAGGATCCAGCAGCTGTGACTAGAAGACACCACGCGGCTGGTTGCTTTACAGTCTCTCCTTTCTCGTCCTGTAACAGCGGTGCCACACAAACCGGCCCAGACACACATCACTCTGATGGAGCAGGTTGACAATCTGGGTTGTTTGTATGCTGAGGTTCCTGCCTCTGTTCATCACCAGTTTCCCCCTTTGCTTCCCTGAAGGAGCCGTTGACAGGAATAGGGGGTTTTTAGGGGCTCGAGGTAAGAGGGAGTTGGGGCTCACGCTGAAGAAGCACCGAGCGAAACCTGATGTCGGCAATAAAAGTCGTGGTGGAAGCGACCATGGATCATTATGCTGACCATGCGAAAAGTCACCAAGACGGCAGCAAAAGAAAAGGGGCCGAAGGAAGTGCTTCCAGATGATGTTTGGGAGAGAAACATAAGTGACAGACAGAGGCTCAAAGGGAGGATCGTCTTCTGGAAGCTACTTCACTAATCATGAAGGTGCTCTCAAACTGTTGGACAGAAAGCTGCAGAAAATCTTCTCTTAATCCCCAATCTACCTCCAGGCTTCGTAACGCACAGGAGAATTAAGTCGGAGCACATATTCCCCCCCACAGCCGCACAGAGCAGATGGGAAGGACTCCATGGTTACAGAGAACACATCAGCACCAGATGACTGGACTGACGTAACGCGCTGATGCTTCTGATGAGATAGGACCTGTGTTAGTGCGGAATAACCTTTAACAGAAGCATGTCCCTGAGCCGAGTATATCTGTTACTCAGGCCTCCCAGCAAAGGGGAGTGGGTTCCTATTGATCAGCCCCTGGGATTTATTTGTTGAGGAGCTGTGATGTCATAGCTGTGTCACTGGATGGATTTGGGAAAGAGGGATCAGTGATTGGCTGTCAAAATACTGAAACATTGAAGCAGCATTAAGGCACGTCTCGTGGCAGATACAATACATCACATACTCAGTTCCTTTTATTAAGTCAATCCACGATCACTTTCCCAACCGCCAGGTTTGCAAAGCAGTTATTAAAGAAAACCAATGAAGTGATGTTTGTTAGCTTGTGGAAGATCCACATCCAGTTGTTGGACCGGTTAGAACAGAAGAATATATGACACTGTTCTCCTCACAGGACATGAAGAAAGACGATGTGTATATTTGTAACACAGGTTTCTTTATGTGCTTTAAAGAGGCAGCTCATCAGAGGCACGTGACCGAGCCGAGAGCTAAGCCTCTCAGGGAGGGGGGGGCTTCATAGTGGGCCGCAGGTTTCATGTACTAAAGGTAATTAGAAAGAGGTGGAGGGGGGGGTTCATGGCATAAAGCCTCTCCAAGGCCATCAATGGCGAGTTGAAGACTTCTAAAGCCCACAGACAGATTACCATTTAAATAGTGTGAGGTTTAAATGTGCTGCCGGCAGAAGACTAGTGTACAGAGACAATGGGGCGTCACACAGTGAGCCCGTCCTGGGATTAGACTTTAACTATTCTACAGATAACTACTGCAGAGATAAGCAGCCTTATTCCAGCGCTGCGAAAGTCACAGTTCAGGACACCAATTCATCTCAACGTGTCAGAAACGGCCTAACCTTAAAAAACAATGCGAGCAGTGATTGAACAACTGATTCATGTACAGCATCTAAATTCTTAAAGGGGCACAACATCACGATATGTTGATTCAGGAGTGGAAAAATTGTTTTATTTAGAACTCAAAATAGATATAAACGTATATACTATAAACTAAAAAAACTGGATCATCTCAGAAACGGTCTTCAAAATGAAACAAAGACGTTATTTATATTCCTTGCATGCGGTTTTAAATGAGCGATGCCTCTGGGATTTCTTTAGCACGTGTTGCTTTGAATATGTAGGCCTTGAAACAGCCTAGTCCTCCAATTATGAAAAGCAATGGACTATTTTGGTGATTAATGTGGCTCTATCCAACTGTACGACGGCCTTGGACTCTGGTAGATGTTGCAGTGCACCTGGATCCTTCTCACAGGAAGGCTTTGATTTAACAATGACTAAAAAGATAAAAGTGCGAGCTGTTGGTACTCGATTTTTTTGCTGTAAATTGCTGATGAACGTTTAAATATTCAATTCCCTGCCAGCAGCAGTTTAATGTGACAGTCGGTCTTATTAAAAAGCTGATCAAAAGAAAATAACAAGTACTCATTCTCCCACAAAGCCAGCCGGTTTCACCAGTCTTCAACATCCGTCCGTCCCTTTTCAGAATCCACATGGACCCCTCCCTAATAAACTACATTCACAGCTTCATGAAAGACCGGGTCGCCAACGCGGAGAAACTATTGGCCAAGATTTTGAAAATGATCCCACCTAAAACCAGCCAGTTCTCCTGTTCTCCTCACCCTGGCACCATAAAACACCCGGAGGATCAAATACATGACAGGCCCCATCTCAGCCAGCTGTTTGTCAGCTCATTCAGGGAATACATTAAAACCATATATTCCACTGCCCCCCCATGTGAAACGCCTGACTTCCTTCATTGTGGGGAAAAAACAATAGCCATCAGCTGCCTTCACTCAGGCTTATTTGCCAAATCTATCACCCTGTCTTTCAAGTGCACGGCCACCATATAAAGAGGACGATTCACACCTCCACACACTTGATCTCAGATCGGCACGTCCTATCACTCCTCCTCCTTCAGACGGGAGATGACAATTAAATATTCATGGCATTTACACAAGGATATGACTTAAAGAATCAGCGGCGCGATGGACCCCAGTCTGCGGCCATCTGCTAACAAGTCAGCAGGCCTTCAAGCGCCGAGACGCAAAACGTCGACGGCATTTTACTTCAATTTAAAATCTCCTAGTAGATTTGGAGCTATCCGTCCGTGAGACTTCTGCCTCTACACAGATACGATCAAGGATTCAGTGATCAAGGAAAAATAATGAAGTCAGAAATATCTGATCTTAAGAACTGAGGACCTTAAGTCCCCCGTGTTAAAACGACACACATATGCAGCACAATTGAAACATTAGAAACTAGGAACGTGGCGTTTGGAAGACGGAGGCGACCACCACCCAGTGAGGGTCTAATGGAGGATGCTGCTCGCTGCATTAAGGGAACGTGGGACATTGCATTCTGACATGTGGGTGTAATCTGTCTCATTGGCTGTAGCAAGATAAAGAGTTTAAAATGTAGTGCTTCATCTTGAACTCCTCGGTTTCTGAGTGTTGGTTCAGAAACCCCCGGTGCTCCGTCACCCCTCCACCCACACACTCCCTCCCCCACCCCCTAAAAGCCATTAAAGGCTGCATTGTTTCCCACAGGTCAGCCCGGGTTTCATTCCAAACTTAACGCACACCAGGAAATGCAAGTTGAGCATTTGAAGCCTGTCAATGAAGACAAACAGCCCTCTGGTTTCCCGCCGCCGCCCATAGGAGACTTTTAAGCGTCCGGTGGAACCCGGCTGATACGAGCGACATGTGCATGACTTGTCTTGTGGGACGGTAAGGACGGCGCTTTCCTTCAACGTTCAATAGACAGATTATTTAGTGGGGTCCCACTTCACGCTGCCCCTCGTGGATCTGCACCGTGCCGAGAACAGAGACGCGTTGCGGCAGAATCTCCCTATTGTCCACAAGCCGCGCACACAAAGGCTGATGTATAGTGTAGAGCAGCCCTTTGAGTGGCTGACAGAGAAACAAGGAAACCCTTCCATCACAATCACGGCCAGCTGAGACAAGGGGGGGGGGGGATCTGCTGTACTTTTCCGCTGCCGGCAGCCTCCCTCCCTCCCCCCTTCCTGCTCTCTGAACCTTTCTTCTTCTACGCTTCCCCTCCTCATATCTCTTCTTGTCCAATCTCACTTATCTCTCCAACTGGGGGTGGAGGAGGTGTAGAGTCCCCCCCCGGAGTATGAGTGGTATGTCCACGGACACCACTCACAAAGGGTTACAGGCATCTTAAGACCCTCCATGACGCAGACCCAGCATTCCTGGCAGGCCGCACTGTGATGCTAATCTCTGAAGGTCTGCATGGAGTTGCAGATCAGGCTCATCCGCGGGACAATGGCAACCTGTTGACATTGCCGTCCTGATAATATACACCCAGGCTCGGAGGCTAAATCATTAGCATTGAGTCCTAGCACACTAAAGAGCGGCTATGTGTTGATGTTATGCTAATGGAGCCACATCGGATGCTGCTTTGTTGGATAGTGTGGGAAGACTAGACTGTATGAGCTGCATTCGCCTTAAAAGATCATCAAAGACCACATGACCAGTATATCGATAGGAATACACTAATTAGCCCTCAGGAACAATACATTACAACGAAACATTTATTGCCATAATATGTCAGACATACAAGGAATTTGACTTGGCGGTTGGTGCGTGACAGCAGACAGTACGACAATAGACTACAGTGCACGAGGAATAAAATAATAATATAATGCCACGGGTTAGCTTACAATTAAAATAAGTTAAAAAATATTTAAAAATGAATGAATATGCGCTTGTGTCAGTGTTTGTCTTCTTTTAATTAGAAATGCAATGCGCGTGCTGGAGGTGCTTCTGCCTCGCTGAGGAATGTTGCCACATTCGTTGGTGATGTGGCCGATGGCCGGGGGGCTTTTCCCCAGTGGGCTCTATCCCCCGTCTGTTAAGCAAACGCCACAGCGAAGCACAAGAGCTTTTACACAAAACATTCTCTTTTAAACGGCTTCCTTGTTCTCCCCAGAGAAATAGCTGATAAAAGTACCAATATCAGGAAATTAGCATTAAGTCACTAATAAAAAATGC